AAAAAGAAGGTGATTCGTTAAGGATATTCGTTGACCGATCAGATATATATATATATATGTATATACACCTACATATACGATGCAGAGTGACGTAGAGCGAAATGCTTTCGCCGGATATCGAGCGGACATGTACCGGGCGCGTAGCGATTGATGGTCGAGCCAATTGGCAGTCGGGCACTTGGCAAGAATGATGCAATTAACCAATAAACACGTTTTCCAACCGGCCAACTGCACGTACACGGCAGAGAGCAAGCGTACCTACATAGTAGGACAACTCTGCCAGGACACAAGCGTAGCAACCGTCGTGGACGTGGTCGTCGTCGTCGTCGTCGTGGTCGTCGTTGTCAAGAGTCACGTTCCGTGTCTCTACGTCAGACATTCCGCTATTATCTGCCTTCCGTGATCGCATTCCCGCTTTGTCTTCGATCCTGTCGCGATAATTCGACCGACGTACGATTCCCTGAAATCGAACGTTGTGCCTTCCGAATCTAAATAAACCGGTTTGCGTTCACTTCCCATATGTAAGTATCGTGAATAAGCGTGCTACGAGAGTTGATCGAAACGAGACTTTTCATCGTGTTTTTTTGAAATTTAAAAGGATCCCCTAGTTAAATATAATATAATATTGAATGTTGTAATATTGTAGGTAATAATGAGAATTCCACAGTCAAAAATAAATATTCTTTTCAATTGATTGATTACAATTGTTGAAAATTTTAAGGATTCTTCGAAATAATTTTTGATTGATTTATAAAATTAATTGGAAGGATGGTTATATCCTGTAACGAGCGAAAATATGTAAAATGTATATACGTGTGTTTTTCTTTTTTCTTTCAACAAAATCGATAGATTCGCATGCACGTTGATGTGTGTTGTGCCGGTAATCGTGTAATCTTTCGATCGTGTTAGAAATTATTACGTATGTACCGTGTAATCGATTCGACGTAACGCCGATCAATTTCGCCCCCGACGAACCGACCGAACAATAGACCGATGTAAATAAATACACCGCGTGAACGGAGGAATTCTGTCGGCATTAATAAACCATGCGTTGACAAACATTCGCGTTAAACAAACTATAAACATCGATGATCCTAAATATTCGTCATTCTCATTGATAAACGCGAATCGGCTGCGTGGCTGTTTAAATAGGGGCGCAAACGAACGAGTACGGAAATCGATTGGTTTCGAGATCGGTGCCGTAGCTGAAAAAGGCGAATTTTGAATTTTACAATGTAAATTGATCGTGGCTCGACTTGAAATAATAATTTTAATAATAGTAGACAATATTGGTTATTGGAATACATAGACGAAAGAGTATTGTGCTTTTTAGGATATTTTTCAATGATCTAAAAAAATTACGCAAAATGAAATAATATTTACAGTTATTTCTTTTTTTTCTTAAAGAATTGAATTGGCCTAATCTTTTGAATAAAAAATTTATGACAGTAGGCATCTCATAGAAAAATTTTCTTGTACAGAAAAAATCTGTTCAGAGAGAGAATTAATTGTAAGAAGTTGAGGAAAAGAGAGGTTTAACAATAAATATTCTAATAATGAAATTTTTACCTCGAATTACACTAATAAATTGATAAATTGATAATGTATAATAATAAATAATTGATAAATTGATCATACAATAAATATTAATTTACAAATTGATTATGGTTAGTAAATTTTATGAAATATAATACGTTTGATTTTAATAAAATTTCTTGCAAATTAAATATATACTTATCCATTAAAATTTTTTGTAAATTTTATTATATTATAAAATTAATCCTGCAATCAATCGTTCTTTAAAAATATATTTCGATTATTGAAGTTTAGATATAAAATTTAATCTTTTGATGTATTTTCAAATATCTAGTTTCGAATTATATAATTAAATATTCGAAAAATTTTTTGTTGAGATAACGAAAGACTTAATTGAACCATCACAAAGTTAATATTGAATAATTTTTTTTTTTTTTGTATATTTTTGATATTTTAAATCTAAATTTAAATTTTAAATTAAACACATTATATATAAAAAAACTTCTAATCCGTTATTTTATATTATTTTTATAAAACGTGAGTTATAAAATACAATATTTCAACATTTGTTTTCAAAGTGTTAATATATTTAAATTATACAAAAATGTATAATAAACGAAATACGTTCTAATAGATTCTAAAGGATCGAGAAAAAGAGAAGAAAGATCACCAGAGATGGAAGAAGAAAAAGAACAAAATTCGTGTATCGTAACTATGAGTGTAGATCGCGTAGATTCCAGGAAATAAATGCAAGATGGAAGGAAAAAGGAATGAAAAAAGTGGTAGTCGTTAAAATGTTTGGTAAATACGATGAAATGGGAAATGTTTGAGAAAACGTCATCCATTCGTCAAAACCGACATCGTAAAATGCAGCGTTAACTCGGTTTTGTTTGCGAGAGGAGGCAACCGGTTTTTACTTGCGATCTGTCACGGACCGTGTTACGTTCGAACATTGAAAACAAGAAAGCGAATAAGAGGTTGAAGAAAAGTGGAAAAAAGCGATCTGCCAGTAATGCAAGGGTGTGATATTCGGATGAAAATATTTTTATCGCAGACTTATCTATTTAAATACGTCGTCAATATGTCAGAAGATAGCGAAGCAAGGAATTTCATATCGAGTGTTCCACTTCGATGACAGGTGATGACAAATATTTCTTTCCAGTGATTCCACTCTGATTTTTAATTAATTACTTTTATTTTCTTTTACAAATTCTTTATATCAATTTGAATCATTGAATCAACCAATCGTCATGTAACAGAATTTTTATAAGAATTCATTGGATTAATACGCTATTTCTGATGACTAATCGAAAATTTGATTTCGAAAAATTTCTTAATCTAATGTGTTTTTTCTGCATTTTTCATTTTTTTCTTTATGGTTCTGCCATATTTGTAACATCACATCGATTCGAATCATGAAACAAAAATTTTTGTATCTCGTATAGACGAATGATCTCGGTGCTTCAAATACGATTTCACGATCATGAATATTAACGAATTAAAGCAAGATGCGGTTAAATTAATTCTGTATAATTACACGTTTATTTAATATGCGTTTTTATAATTTTTCATTATGGAAATCGACGTTTAAAAAAATTCTTTTTTTGCATCGTGAAAAAATTAATAAAATTTGATATACAATTATAATATCTATATATCGATTAATACGTTCTAATTTTACCGATTTTTAATTCATTAGCTATGAAACGCCGTTAAATTACGAAATGAAAAAAAAAGTCTGTAACATTAATAAAGAATTTCACATCGAATGTGAAAAAAAAGTAAAATATGAAGAACGGAGATCTTGTTCGATCGATCTTTTTAAACCCCGTATATTTAAAGCAACGAACAGTAATATTTTACGATTAAAACCGTTGAACGATATTCAATGCGACGAGGCAGCATTCTCGCGCGAAACATTGGCACAGAAACGGTGTACAAAAAAACGGCACCCCCTTGTCCGCACGCTCGTCGCGTAACGATTAGCTCGAATTACAGTCGCTAAAGCACGTTGCTCGGCGCACATTATCCGGCCACGGTGTCATTAGCGGGCCCCGGTAATTTCTTCTTCCATTTGCTCTGGTGTACGTGAAATTTTCGTGACGAACGTGGCTCGCGTGTCACCGCTCGTTAAAAGTATTCGCTCTTCTCGTCTTCCAACCGAGAAGTCTTTTCTCCCCTTCTTCCCCTTGTATTTCTTTCTCCTGTTAAATAACGATAAGATTAAGCGTCACCAGGCTGAGTGCAGAAAGGGTAAAGTGATAATAATTGTTTGTAGGGAGTTGAAGCGGAAAGGTCGTCGATGGTTACCACCCTATCCAAAGGGGATGAACGTTGAAGCTTGTAACGGGGTGTGCACGAATGTATGCACACATATATACACGTTGACTGTAGACACATACTCGAGATGGAGTCACTGGGACGAAAAGAGGCTGGAAGGATGGGAAAGGGCATCGTCGTGGTTGAGGGTAGGATACGAGGAAGACAGGGTGCACAATAAGAGGTTGAGAATGAAACGGTCTGGTGGTGGTGAGATAGCGAGGACGAAAATGAGAGAAACTAAACGAGCGTGACGAGGATGACAGATGAACCAAGAGCAGGCTAAACTCCAATCTGAGAGGTCCGCTACAAAACGGGACGAATGTAAACTAACCGAAAAGTGCGGGGCTATGGTTGAAGATTTTAACGATTATAGTGAAACGATGGAAGACAAAGGATTCTAAGAAGAACAAAATAACGTTATGTTTTTTAATAATGATCTCTTGTTATTTAACTTTTTGTTTGTGTTATAGAGTTGATAAGAAGTAGAGAAATCATTACGATCATGTAATTTGATCGCGATCATACTCCAATTTAATTCCTTTCCGATAATTTCACGTTAAATTGAGAATTTTCACGCGCATCCAGACAGAAGGATAATTGTTTGAAAATGATTCGAAGCCTGCAGGTAATTTAATTTAATAAATGCATCGAAGGAATCGCAGTAGCGGCATTCGTTATGAAGCGATCAAATTTGCATGTAATAAAGAGGAAGGTTAACATGGGTTTTCCGGCGCGCGTTAGCGATGTTCATCGTGTCTGGAGTAATAATTTAATACTCGCTCGGCGTAATGCAGCTACAAACTCACCGCAAGATTCACCGCGTGCAAATCTCGTTTTTGTGTAAGTAAAAATGCAAAGCGGATCGCGACGAACGGATTCCCCGTCTAGCTGAAACGTAGCAGAGCCGTTCGTGCCGCGCGCGCAACCGACCAGACCGGACGGAAAAGAGACGAACGAGCTAAGAGGCTGATTGTCGGAGGCACAAGTGTGGGAAAGAGAGGAAACAAACGTGTAGTCGGGAGAGAACGAGTGAGACGGAAAAGACGAGCAAAGGGGAGACCACGTGGTGTCGCGGTAAGCAGTGGGAGGGCGTAGCGGGCGACGGTGCGGGAGAAGGAGAGGGAAGAGCTTCCCCTCGACTCTGCGGTTGATTAGTTGATACCCGTCCGTCGTCGAGGGTAGATCGTTCGAAAGTACGTCTTACGTGTGCGTGCTATCGTGCTATTCGTATCGTACACGTTAAACGATATCGTCGTACATATTTTCTATTTTAATCGTACGTGTGTACTGTACATCACTTTTTCTTTCGGTGTATATTTATTGTGAAATAGAAATATCAAGTGAGTGGCTACTACAGAAAAAGAACTCGAAGAAAAAGTGACAGTGCTTAGTGTGTGTTCTCGTTTCGACTCTATTTTTTTTATCTTGTGCCTTTTCCCAGTTTCGTTGTTTCTTTTTTCGTTACTGACCAGTGAATAATAGTGCATACTGGCTATGACCTGGGATACCACCGGATATACCTGAGGATAACGGAGACATATCCATTACTCCTGACAGGACTTCGTCGTGACGGGAGGAAGCAACATAACCTCTTCGAGGGCCTCTGACGATAAGATGTACCCTAGTGCCAGTATAAACGCTGCGGCAGCTGTGGCTGTGGCAGCTGCGGCACGGCACCCGGTAAGTGGTTTTATTCCTTTTTCTTGCTTGTCGACCTTTTTTTTTTTCCTTCTTCTCCTCTTACGTACACGCTCGATAGGAATGACTGGCACGACCATCGCGATAAAAATAAAACGGTAAAGGATTTGAAGTATCGAGACATCTCGTATCGAGCTCACGAGTCGATCGTTTGGATTTTCGTGTTTAGTCGCGCTGAATTGTGTGATTCGATCCGACGCTACCGACACAACGAATTTGACGTACACGTGTGAAATCCTATTTCTTATATGAAAAACTAAGTTCAAACAAAATTAATATGTAAATATAAACCAAGTTTACGTGTCGTTTACATAGTGATTAATTCTCGCATTTCTAATTGCTACTTATGCATATATTGAACGATCGTTTTTCCGCGAATCGTCAACGTAATCATATTTTTTTTTTTTTTTTTACTCCAATCGTTTATCGTATACATCTACGTTTCTATTTATCATAGTTTCTATTTATCGGGAAATTATACATAGAGTGACCGGAGGCGATTAACTTGAAACAGTGACCTCGTTACATCTCGCTGTGGATAGTTGGTGATTACTAGCATAAAATAACCGTAAAAATATTTAGATCTATAATCAAATACGATTAATATTCTACTATGTAGTCGTTTCCGCCGACATTATCACCTATGCACTGTGAACGTATCATTGACGTCTCAAATTTCAATGAAAATGATGAAATTAAATTTAATTTTCTTAATTAGAATAAAATAGCAATTTAAATGTCGCGAAGAATAAAATTATGAAAATTTTAGTGATAGTAATCCATTGTTGGACGATTGTTTTTTCTATTTTTTTTTTTTTTGATTTTATCAGTTCTTTACGTTATCCTTCTCACAATTCATCGTCTTGTTTCGCCACAGATATCGAACAATCATCGCGTATTCTTGCCCATTTGAAAATCCTTTCAATTGTGTACGCGCACTTTCGATAAGTATCGAGCTTCTACCTATGCTAATTCGAGATACCGATATATCGACCGGTATATGGATACCGGAGCCATAGACTTTCTCTACTGTCAGATGGATTCCATGGCCCTACCCCTCACTATTCCTCTCTGCACTAGCGTTACTCAAACGGAATAAAAAAGGCAGACCTGGAAAGTACTGTCAGGACGTTTTTTTTTTTTTACAGCCGGACGAACGGTTGCGACGGC